TGTGTTACCACCCCATGCCAAGTCATGCCACCCTGTTAAGCAAAAATGGCTTCTTTTACTATTATGTTTTCCGCGCGCTAAAAGTTTGTTCCTCTGAATCTTTGCTTACCAATGAACTTAATTATTTGAGAGCAGTTGCGATTGACCGTGGATTTTCTCCCGTGATTATTGATAAAGCCGTCAAAAAATTTTCAGATTCCCATCAAAGAAGACATTCCACTGTTAGAAATAATATTAATAACCTTGTCGTGCTTCCATTTTATCCTTCTGTTAGCTATAAAATTGCACGGATTCTCCAGAAATTCAATTTTCAAGTCGGTTTCTCCCCTATTAATAAAATTCACCCTTCGATTCTAAAAGATTGCGTTTCTGTCTTGAATTCTTGGGGAATTTATAGTATATCATGTCAGTGTGGTTTAAGATATATTGGCCAAACAAAAAGAGCGTTGAAGTTTCGTATCAAGGAACATGAATCTTATGTCAAAAAAGGCGAAATTAACAAGTCTTCAATAGCGTCATAGCTGGACTTTTAACCATAATTTTGATTTTGGGTCTGCAAAAATCATCCAAAGGCTTCTTCCATAGGCGAATTGGATTTTCTTGAGGCTTTTCACATTCACAAAGATTTAGAAAGTTTAGTTAATGATTTGAAGTCCAATCCAGTCCTTCCTAATGCCTTTAAAATTCTACTATCTTAATTCAATTATTTTTGCCGATAGATGGCGTTACCTCCTCGCGCTTGGTACTACCAGAGGTATAAAAAATCCGTTCAGTGGTTGCTTTCCATGATTTGAAGTTCAGATTTTGAGCGTAATGTGCATTTGCCCCCTCGCTCCCTATTTTAACTTCGCTAATATTGTCTTTATGCTTGATCAGACAGCCTGGCTCAGTAAAAGTAGGCGGCCAGTGCAACTCTGATTAAAAAATCTAGTTATAACCACGTGCAGTGCTGATAAGCACCTACGTGTTTTTTTCTGTGACTCCTTCTCCTATTTTCTTCTTTCTATGTATTTCTTTCTCCTGATGAGGAGGGACCTTTAGCTGCCTTCGAAATCGATTGAGTGTTTCATTATACCTACGCTAAATATAAGGTTGTTTTTTACGATTTTGATTGTCACATTAGCGTGTTTCTCTTCTGTTCTAGTCTATATACAGCTGCGTTAACTGCAGATTGTCCTTTCGAGTATATATGGCTTTTAGTAATGATATTTTAAAAATAGGCTAAATGCAGTTCTTTATTATATTGAAAAGCATGAAAATCATTATTCGAATAAATGTTGGTTATATATATATGAAAGTATGCCAGTTTATTGCAAAATGTCGAAAAAAGGAGCCTTCTTTATCAAGTCTGCTAGCGACAGAAAATCTATTAAGAGTAAATATTTAGCCAGTTTATATTGACAAGAGCATAATGTGCAGAAATTAGAGTTCAGCAATTATCTGCAGTCAACCTAATGATACATACATTAGAGCAAAATGAATGCTTTTTAGAAAGTTGAAAAGTAATATATAAACTAACAGGTACTTTCGCCTACAATTTAGTGTCCTCGAAGAATTTTGAAACCAATGCAGCGGTAATAATAAAATGGCTTAGAACACTTATTCCTAAGCATTTTATAACAACAGAACTTTAACAATAGAAGGAAAATAAAGCAATTTGTTTAGTCACTTTGTATTAGTATATCTAAATTTCGTTCCACGGTAGGCTATGCATTTCTGTACTCACTAATCTGTGCTTTAAAAAATGTAGAAATAGTGCGGAGTTCAAGAGATATTAAGTTATTCTTTCCTTTAATCAACTTTAAAGGATGCACTCTTTGAAGACTGCGAATAGCTTAACTGACGTGCATTCCTTTTCTTTTATTTGCTATCAAACATATGCCATTCCGTTACTCTAATGTATCTCATCTTAGCTACTTTCCGAAAGACTAGCTATAACGCACCGCAAGATTAGTTCATTATCAGAGAGTACGATACGCATGCGCTGTATTTCAAGTCAGCGTCTTCTTTATGTCTTGCATCGATTCTGAACTTCTGCGTATAAATAATTAATTTATGATGCTAGTTTCTTTGTATACTGCTTAGGAAAAAACGTACAATGCATAGAAATAAAGTACATATTATAGCTACTTTCAGAATCCCTTACACGGAGTAAATGGGAATTTTAAAAAATTCGGAGTAATAACTAAAACAAGAAATATATAAACACTATGCATTATCGTATTGCAATATAGAGGTATACAAATTGTAACTTAGTTTTTTTTAGGTTCGCAAGTTTAAATTTTTGCTTAATTATACAAATTTGCCAGTGCAATGATTAACGCTTATTTTTCCAAAAAAATTAAAAGTATATATTTTATACTAAATACACTTTATGCAGTTTTGCTATTTAGTAATGCAAGGATTATAAGTGAACTCTTTAAGATATTTATACATTTCTTGCAATTTCTTTAGTAGAAAGGAAATAATTTTCATCGTGTGTTTAAATTCAATGGAATTGAAATCTAAAAGAAAAACTCTTTCACCTTCAACAGCATTTACTTAATAGCATTTTCCAATAAATCGAGTCAAATATTTAGCAAGTAGATATTTCTCTGTCTTTTGTTATTGGAATGAGGTGTTTTAAAACAAAAATACTATTTTTAATAAAAGTACTGCTTCAAGAATTTATTCAGAATCTGAAAATTTTTACAATATAACCTCGAAACAGCAAAAAATCAAAAACAACTTTTGAAACTGTGACTTTTGAAACCCATACAAAGAATTAATTTATGATCACGACTGAAAGTTAAAAATGTAAATGATTTTTTTTTATGAAAAATGTAGCATGTGATCACTTGCATTGTTAAATAAGAGTTTGCCCTCATAAAATCCTCATTTAGACATATTTACTTTCACTGCAGATATCTTCTTAGCCAATTAGTCCATTAACTGCCAGTTTTTAATGCCAGATTTTTTCCTCCCTATAAATACGTTTATTCTTCTTCATAAAGGCATACCGTTACCCCTCTAAAATACTATATTGTCAAGACTATAACAGATCCCATTTAGTCTAAGAATTCCTTAGAAGCTACGAATTATTTTTATGCCACTGCACGAAGTAGTCTATGAAGAATACAACAATGCATTTATTATATTAAATTCTAACTTTCCACACGTTTTCCACACGGTACGATTTCTTCGCTTCCCTTCAGAAGAAGTAAGAAATCGCACATTACAAAGTAAGTTGTATTTTACAGCAAGATATTCCTAACTAATTTTCAAAACCAAATAACAAAGAAAAAGTAAGGAATTGAATTGGAATGACTTAAGTACATTGTAGTACTTTAAAGCAATGTAACTTCTAGCAAGCTAGTTAACTCAAAACGACCCTCCCTCTTCCCGAAAAGAAAACTGTATGTCTGAAACCTAAACTGTATTATACATTATTATTTTTTAACATAACACAATTAGCACTTCTCCTTACCAATAAAGCAATAACAATAGTAAATTAGAGAAAATCACAAGTGCTTCATTTTATCAATAGTTCTGGTTTATCACTAGAATTACAAAAGCGATCATTTTGACCGAAAACTTTTAAGTTATTCGTATTTTAAATTTTTTTAAAGTACTTTTATATTTTTTTTCTTTTCCTAAATACATACCAAGATGACGAAATAATTTATGCGGCCCGCTTTAAACAATAATTTTTATATATAACTGTATACTTAGAATTATGGCTAGGGGTCATTTTGACTGTTCGTCTTCTCTGGTTAGTAAAATGCTAATTCCGTTTGGTGTAGGTTAGGCTATACCAGGTTTGGGTTTTGACGCCATTTTTGGAGATTTTCTTTATAGTTTCGTACCAGATGTTATTCGGCAGTTGGTTAAAATAGAAATGAGGCTGTCTCTTCTCAAAGCTGTTGTGTCCCAAATAGGTTTCCTGTTTCTTATGTGAATGTTTTAGCAAGTTCTTTGCCTTGTTCTGTGTCACACCTTCATCTCACTTGTAATTGTTCAAGACCTCTGACTACTTTTTTATCCACAAATATTTTTCTATTAATCATATTGCGTAGAATATTGAATCAATCGCATCAACCAGAAGAAGACTTAGTTTTACAAGTATTATTTGATGACAGTTGAGATAAATTAGAAATTAGTTCCCATGAAGAATATAATACAGGAATTTATTCTATTTCGTCTAAAGCAGATTGTATTATTCCAATTACAGCAAGTGAATCCGATTCATTAAAGTCTGTTATTTCTTCAAAGTGATGATTCTGTCATTTCTTAAAAGATAAATTGTCCCAGTTTTTCTCCATGTGGTCCTGAGTGAGACCAAGACATTCCTTCATCATTTACCTATTATATCAATTCAAAAAATAAAATTCTAGCAAAAGAAATTTGCGGATGTTAAGGGTTTATCATTGAACCAGAATTTAGAAAGAGGACCATCATGTAGTAGTGGTCCAAAAATAGGATAAAGGTTTGGAATAATTCAATAAGAGAGCTCAGGAATGTTCCAGTAAGCTGTAGTCCAAAAAGAAAATTAAAGTTAATTAGATATTTTGTAAGTAAAGAAAAGCAGCTTGCTCCTAGGTACGTATCTACTGCACAATGGTTAGCTTTCCCGATGCTTTCTTTCGTTTAAAAATATTATTGATATCCATGCATTTTTTACGTCAATGAAACTCTGCGTTTTGTAACAATCTCGTTGCCGGTGTTCACTACTTGAATTTCTGAAATAACATGTAAGTTGGTAAACAGCGCTAAATAGTCGCCTTAACCATGTGACTTTTCTAGACCACTCACTCACTAGCTGGAAATACATCTGTTTCAGTCATCGAAGTTGTAAAAACTTACTGTCTTTGGGAAATTCAAGATATAAGCTTTCCCAATACATGACATTGTTACACCAGTTGTACATTTTGCTGTCTCTTGACATATTGCGAAATATGCGTCACTATTATTATTTCTTTAAAAAAAACCTGCTGCCTATTTGAACATATTTCCACTTTTAGCTAATCACCTTCTGAAGTATTTTCAAGATGATGTGAAAGAATGGCAACACAGAATGCTAAATCTGGCCTTGTATCTAACACTGAAAATGGTAACAATTATCACAGTTTAATACTTGAATTACCCCATTTCTTATACCTAGAACTATTGGGGTGGGTCATACCTGACCTACGGACTTCAGTGATGTTATTTTTAATTTGTATGCGAGATATATTCAGAAAGTAGTTTCATGATTACTACAATGATTTTTAATTAATAATATATAAATTTAGCTTCTAGAATGTTGCATAATATGAAATTTAGTTAATAGTACCATCAAAGAAAGTTTTAATTTTTAATTTTGGAATAGATACTTAAAGATTTTGGCAACCCGTATAAAGTGAAATGCAAAAAATATCTTTTAAAGAACATATAGTTTAATTAATATACATTTAATAATGTTCGTACATATTAATAAGATATTAAATCACAATACAAATTAAATGTGCATGACACTTATGTTACTTTCTCTGGAAACATTTCACACATAATACTATAGCCTTTGTTTCTTTTTATGCTGTACATAATCCACACACAAATTTTGAACATTTTTCACAAACAGTATTTGTTTTATTGTCTTTGTATTGCTCTATCTGGCAACTTTTTCATTTGTTTGAAACTTCTGAAATAATTCGTGGAGTGATAACTTCTCTTTCTCTCTTAGCACCTCCGCTAAATTTAGAATATAGTCTCTTCTGCTCAGATTAGAACTTGTTGTCTCTTTAAAAACTGCCCATGCATTGATCATCGCTAGATCTAAATATTGAAAAAAAAATATGCATTGGCCTTAATGCAAATTTCACAGAATATTTCCTTGCTATCTGATCCACAACGTCGACTCCAAATTTTGTGGAATTGTAGAAATTTATTATTTCAGGAGTTTACTTCTCATTTTGAGTATCTTCAAATAAAGAATTCCATGTACTAAGAAGAAGTACATTTTTGCGTTTTTTACATTGGTAGAAAATAAGAATGGTGGTATTGTGTGTCATGAAGATCGTTGAATATAATTCTTTTTTTCGTTTTTTTCAAGGAATTTGGAACATCTCGTTTCGCTCTATTGCTTGTTCCGACATAGCTCAAACTATTTTTGTTTAGGCTTTCTAAAAGTTTTAGAAAAGTTAAAAAAAAACTATCACTTGTTATATTCGTCTTGAGGAAAAGCTATACTAACAGAAAATCATCATTTTCGCCAGCACTTAGATAATTTGTTTTGGAATAATCTTTTCCTAAATAAGGAAATGCGTTCATTATGTACTTTGAGCTCACATCTACAGCCAACCAAAATTTGACGCCAAATTTATTCGGTTTATTTGGCATATATTGCAAAACTCTATAGCGTGACTTTGACGGAAAAGTTTCTCATCTACAGTAATGTTTCTTCCTAATTCGTGGCACATAAAACAGTTTTCTATGAAAATACTCGCAACATCTGATATTAGTGCAAATTTATCATCTTTCAAGCTATCTGATCTTGAAATTTGTAAGTCAAAACGCACGTATCGCATTATTTCTAAACGTCTGTTCCGGCTCATAGAGAGGAAAAAATTGTGGCATCAGGTCTTTGACCAAAGGCTAGTGATAGAGACCCATTTTGCAGCTAAAGCTCCTCAAACATGTTTATTGCAATCAGAGCCGGGCTACATATTTTTTCACCTGAGGCAAAGCTGTAAATGCGCGCCCCTGTATACAATGCAATATTATTTATTTACCTATTTGTCTGGGAAGGGGGAAAGACTGAATAAATAACACTAAATGATGTCTGAAAACATATCTATATACAAACACGCGCAATATATATATATTCATACATATAGAACAAATTAACTATATTTATATATATTTTATGTTCATTAAACGTACTATTTCAGTAAAAATACCATAATTCTACAGTATATAGTATTATAACTTTATATCCACAAAGTGAACATATATAATGATTGACATTTGAAATGAAAACATTTAAATATGCTTTTTAAAAAATGGCAAATAATATTAAGTAGTATAAATAAAACATCTGCTCAAAAATTTATGGCATAAAATTTTCAAGCATACTTATAATTTAATTTTTCTTGGTTTTAAAGAAGAAGAATCATCAATATTTGTCTCAAAATCTATTTGATTACTTAACTCATGTTCTATATACAGAATGGCCATGTCTGAAAGTTTCTCTCGGTCTAGTGAAGATGTCATATACTTCTTTATTATTAAGTTTCCTAAAGCTTCTTTCGCCACTAGCTACAATAACTGGCAACCTTAAAAAATTCTTAACGCTGCTTCCAAATTCGTATAGGAGTGAAGTAAATTATAATCGTGAATTATTTTTGAAAGTTCTAAGCTTGTAATTGCTTTTGTGTCCGGAATTATTGAAATAGTATGGTTTTTCAAATTAGATATTTCTGACTGAATTTCATTAGCGTTCATATCATTCGCATATTTAAGTGCTAAGTTATAAGCTGCTGGCTTTAAATTACTTAAATCTAATGACATTAATTGTTCACCAGTTAGAAACTGAAAATCGGAAGAGATTTCATTTAACCTTTCATATTGCCATTTCAACTGTGAAATTAAAACGTCGAACACTTCTTTAATTTGATAAATATGATTTTCTGAAAAACTACAATTTAATTAATTGATTCTCAATGATTTAACTTCGTTTTCGTTTCTCTTGAAATTCTAGATATCTTCATCTAAGCTGAAGTTTTACATTTTTCAAAATGCATTGAGAAATATTTTCTCTCATTTCCTGTAATGAAAGACATAGTCCATCTATTAAGCGTACGGCTTTATAGATAGTGATAGTTTTTGACTGCAAGGCTTTATTTACTTTTTCGATTTTTTGCAGTATGAAATTCCATACAGATAACAAACATAAAAATTTTAAATTGATTTGTTTCAAAGTGTTGTTATTTTCAGCCCATTGCAAAAATCTGTGATTTAATGCCATTAGTCTACGTACTTCCGTCATTTGTAGATCTAACATTTTAATAATATTTGCTCTTGATGACCATCATGTATCCGTATGTCCTCTTAATGTTGTTTTCAAAACAGACATAAGTGCATCCCGTCTACTCGTTGAAGATACAAAAAAATTATAAATCCTCTGTACAGTGCCAAATAATATTAACATACTTGATTTCGTTGAAGCAGTATTTTTGTATACTAAATTTAAACTATGAGCCGAACAAGGAATATATGTAGCTTGATCATTTATTTGGCAAATAATGGCATGCACGCCTTTGTACAATTCAGCCATATTGGCCCCGTTATCATAACCCTGTCTTCGAACATTTTGAATGTCGAGGCCATCCTTTTCTAACTTACAAATAATTTCATTTGTTAAACCACTACCAGTTTTCTCTTCTAATTCTATAAAATCTATTAAGCTTTCTTCAATAAATATGAATTCATCTTTTATGTTCACGTATCTAATAATCTGACACAGTTGCTCATGATGCGAAACTTCTGTTGTACAATAAAACATCAGAGAAAAATATTTCGCTTTTTTGATCCTAGAACGAATTTCAAATCCAACATGATTACCTAAGAGTAATATAAATTCATCTTGTACTTTATTAGACAGATAATAAATGGATACCTTTCTGTCATTAGCTATATGATAGGCAATATTTCTATTATAATGACTTATTAATTCAATTAAATTCAGGAACATTCTTGCACTTGAAATAGCAATACTTTCATGCTTACCTCTAAGAGGTAAATTGTATTTTGCACCAAAAAAAAATTATGTCTAATATAACGCGTAAGATAAGCCGCTACTTTCCCTTTTCTGATTGTACTGCTTTATGCAGAGAATCATCTATGAAACCACCTCCTTTAATTTTTTTCAAAGCATTTCCATTGAAGATAAGCATCACGATGCATGGAAAACAGAATAACAACACAGATCTTTTTGAATAAATAAGCCAGTTGCTTCCCATTAGAACTCTTCTTATTTAAGAAGAGTTGGTTCATGGTTATTTAACCATTCTCTGAAAAATATTCTGCCGTCCTCTGAAGTAGATTCCCTGAAATCAGCATCTTGTCCTTGATCTGGTCCATGTTCTATTGTGAAAAATTTTATTTTGTCTGAAATTGTTGGCCATGATGGAGAATCATTGAAGTTAATCAGTTTAATGGTTACTTTATCCTTCTTGTTTCCAGAAATTTCAATTACTTGTTTGCTTTTATTTGAATCAAAGCTGCTATATTCTCATACTTCAACAACATTTTCTTCTGAGCTATCTGTTATTACGTTTTTTTGATGAATTTTCTATTTCATTTAAATTTCGGCATTTCGCTAGACGGCTTTGTAACTGTAAAGCGCAGCTTTGATGAATGTAATTTCTTAATTTATTTTCCTTTTGTATTCAGCACCACTGGGATTTTCCTATGGCATCTGTGAAAATTCGATTTTTGAATTATTTTGATTAAGAAATTATCTGAATTTTACTTTTTGTCATAAGAAAGTTAATAAAAATTTATTGTTGAATGAAATTTACATAATGTCAAAACTTAAAAAATATAAAACAAAAAATATTAAGAAAATATTTTTTAAATATTATCGCGCCATAAACTTTCTTCGACGTAGCATTTGATATTCCTGTTTGACTATGAATAAGATTCTCTTTTCAAACGCATGTATAAACGCTTTATTAACTTATTATAGCGTTCCATTTTCCTTTCTCGTAGATTTTGGATCTTTTCAGTTTTAAGAGAAGATGCGCCAAACAATTTTCTCCAGAAAGTTATATTTCCCAACTTGGTATTTGCAACGAGAAAAACATACATTTGTAATCAATTCATTACAAACGGAGTAAAATTTGTTTTTAGGGTTAATGGTCTCAGTAAAAAAAAGAACAACAGATTGCCATACTTTAAAAAAGTATTCACAACACATTCTTTGAAAACAACAATATAGTCATAAGAGACAAGAATTTAACTGTGCTTACGAGGCAACGCTAGTTCTGTAGAAAATTGTGAAGCTCGGGTTGTTATGAAATGAAAACTATCACATACTTTAGTCTGAGCTATTGTTTCGTCATATAAAGTTTCCAATGTTTTTTACCACAGTTATGTAATTAATGCATCAAATCTTTTATAATTTTTCATTTAAATTACTAATCCTCTGTGCATTGCAATAAAATAAAACCTGAGTATGGCTGTTATACTGAAACCATTTCGCATTTTTAAAATTATACGAACATGTTTCAGTCATTGGTCGAAATTCTCTTATATGATATGAATTTTATAGTTCTTTCTTTCTTTTCTTTTTACTTTTAAAGCAGTTCCGCAAATAATCCTCTTCGGTGAGTTAAGTAAAATTTAAGTAAAATTGTGACTTTCATTTTAAGCACTTAAAGAGATATTTTGATCGCAGAAATTCTTCTTATCAACTACTAAGTAATAATTTCTACATTTGTGGTCTGTCCATTAATGTTCGCGTTCAGAACTGGCCGAGTTATGGGTTAACATAGGCAACTTTTTCAAACAGTTTATTATAGTAATCGGATTGACTGCATTTAGTCTTCTGTACCTTGAATATCAGACAGTTCTATCAGGACATCCTTCACGAAAGCATCGCTTCTAAAGCATAAAGCGTAGCGAGCAACATTATAATAGAGTAATCAATGAAATAAGTCTTTAATATTCACGGAAGCTTTCATCAGTTAATCTATTCACCGGAAGATTATTTGAGCTTGAGCAGAAATTTATATGCCATCTAATTTAAATATGCCATTGGTTTGGCTTTTCAGGCACTTTTTTCCTAACAATCTCATGATATCTCGACAATAAAAGCATAATTTAAAAATTATCAAGATTTAATGATATTTCATATTTTATCTTTACTTTTATTGCGCCTCATCAATTAACTGAAGAAACTTCTATCTATTTCATTTCGCGACTATGACAGGTGTTTATCATTAATTTTTATTCACAGCAACGAGAATTTCTAATCTTTTTTAGGAAGAAGCATATCATTTAAATATATTTTTATTTCAATCCCGTTAGAGTTAGTTAGTTTTTTAAGGATATTTGTTACGTCAAAATCAATTAATTACATTAGAATTAGCCAGAGCCTTTTGTCTTAAATCTTCCACAAAGTAAACCAAAACTTCCACAATTTTAAACCTCCTTTTTTAGTTCTCTAAAACTGAAAAAATGCATTTTATTGTTTCAATTGATTATATTGAAAAATAAAATAGAATTATTACAAAACATTTAGCTTACCTTATATCTTTATATCCCATTTGAGAAATAATAGACCAAATTGGTTTAATCCTTCCCCAAGTAGCACATGACGTAGCAAAGACGTTGCAAACTGGTCCAAGAGGTTGAAAAGTGTAGTAACGTCTTTGCTACGTCATGTGCTACTTGGGTCAGCATCTGCTTCAGAAATAACTTTCAATAAAACAATCCATACAGTTCCCGCGCAACATGAGTGTTAATACAAGACAAAACTTCGATTCGCCTCGTTCATAGAGAATTTTACATAAAAAAAAAAGAAAAGAAAAAAAAAAGTTCAATAACTAATAATATGGTACATTTCATTTTGTGAGATTGCAAAACTCAGCAGTTATATCGTCGCCTATATTCCGTTTATAGGCTTTGGCATGTTTGAAATGACTAAGTAAAGAACTTTAAGTCGAACTAATGAGAGACAGAAAAGAACAACTAATGCCAGTAGTATAGTATTTTCTATGAACGTTTAGTCTATACCAGGGGTTCTTAACCGGTGGTACGCAAAGAAGCAGAGTATTTTTAAATTTTAAATTCAAAAATTAAAATTCCAACATCCTAATTGAGTTTTTTCTCTAACAATCGTAAATTTATGCGATCTGAGCTTTGTTCAAGAGTGGTGGTGGTATTACTAGTACTTTGTAGTGGTGGTACTGCAGGTTTTCAGTTTTTGTTCAGATGGTACGCGTTAGTCAAAAGGTTGGGAACCGTTAGTCTACACATAAACGGAATATATTTGTAATTAGTTCCTTAAAGCTACTTTCAATAACAAATTTTAATGTCATAAAATGTTATATACAATACGGTGAAAGCTCATGTCTTTTGAGAATAAATTAATGCTATTAGTTTTTCTTTTCCCTTTTTAGCTGGATTGTTTATAACACAAAATTCTTTAATATTCACTGATGTATTCCGGAATTAAAAATTATAAGTTTTAAAAGTAAATTTCTGAATTTTTGGTCGGATAGCTAATTTTTCTCCCCTTCCATTTGTTCACCTGAGGCAAGTGCCTCACCTGCCTCACCCTCGTCCCGGCACTGATTGCATAAAGGAGTGTAGCTCATCAAAAGAAGTTCTCGAAGCTTCATTATTTAGTTTTGATCTTGCTTCCTTTTCTGTACATTTCATTATGATATTTAAAATTTTATCATTTAAGCAAAGTCTCCAGGAAATTATAGGAATGTTATTGGATTCGGAAGATGAGATTATATCCCTAATAGTTCTTTCGTCATTTGTAACAAAATTTCATCATCAAAAGATGAATGTCTTCGATGAATTTCATCATCGAAAGAATCATTTTCTGAAAGTTCATTTAGCAATTTCAAAATTTCTTCTTTCGAAAGACCTCTCCTGCAAGGTGCCATCACTAAACGTTGAAAAACTGCAATGCTACTAATTTTTATTTCCTTCCGTGCAGTTTACAACCGGAAAAATATTCTTTTTACTTAGTTTCTAGCATATAACAGAGATAGGAATATTCTACAACATTCCAATACATAATAGATACAATAGCTTCTTATCACAAACGTTCACACATCCGCCTATAGGTGCAAGCCATATGTGTGGACACACCCCCTTCCCATTTTCAGCCTATTGTAAAAAGCATGTGCAATACCTCTCCTTATACTATTCTTTTGTAACTGAAAAATGTACAGTTGAAATCCTTGTTGAAATATAAAAAAGACATTATTTTGTTCGGGTCAGCTATGAGCCCCATGGTAGTTCTATGTAACAAAACGCATGACATGTAAGACATGTAACAGACAAAGACATGTAAACAAAAAAAGTAATATTTGGAATTCAACTAAATTTGTTTTATGTCATTATACTGAATATTTAGGGAAAGTTCGAAAATTTGAATGCTTAATTTTGAAACACAACTCTGAAGTGTGCAAAAAACTACGTCTTAGGTGACAGATGGCACGCCGTGGTAATTCTAGTGTTCGCAATTTTGATAGCTAACGATAACTCTCCAACAGATAAATCATTATTTTAGAACTGTTTTAATACATGCGTCATATTGTTTCATAGCCTTTAGCATTTGGAAATATAACAGTTGAGACGTAGAGTATTGTGATAAAAAATGCTAGTGATACATATTTAGACATTTATAGCTTAAGTGTTACTGTTTACTGTAGTCCTTTTAATTTTGTTTTTTAAAACTATATAGTCATGCTTGGATTTCATAGTCTATATGAGAGTAAGTATTAATTTGAGTTTCCAGTTTTCACATTCTTCAGTACTTTATAACAGATATAAAAATCAAGGAAATATCTGCTAAATATTTTAACGCTGCTTACAAAACACATAACTGAGTAAAAATAAAACAGCTTGAAGAAATAGACCGAATTAAAGAAAATATTTATACATCAAGAGATTACAGGAAGAAGACAAATTAGATATTAGAGTTTACTGAATCATATAAAAAAAGTAAAAAAAGCTATTTCATTCAATTACCAAAACGGTAATTCATCGGAAATTCATTTCGTGCAAGTCAAATCCGAATTTTCTGAAAACTATAAAATAGCACATTAAAGTGTATTTCACGGTGGAGATTAACACTGAATATTCTCTGAAGGAAAATGTCCGCCTTTACGTAGTAGAATTAATTAATAGAATATTCATTAAAGGGCGAAATAAAATGTTATTACACACGCGTGACAAATAGTGCGTTAAAAGTGTAGAAAACAATTTTGGAAGCGAACATCTTAATCTGGCACTGCTCAAGCTGTGTTTGTACATCATCAAAACAATATTTGTCATTCTCAGTTGTTAGCCATATATCAGGAGAGCAGTTTCAAGTTGCATCTTCCTTTCAGCATGTCTGATTTCATGCAAAATTAATTTCAATTTCCAATAAATTAACTACATTTTAAACAATAGGTAATTTCATAAATAAAAATCTTATGTTTAAAATATAATATGTGAATTTACGATGAAATGCATTTCCCTAATACCTTTATGGATTTACCGCAAGCATTAAATATTAGGTGATATTCATTGTGGCTAAAAAACCTTTATATCGTTAAGTTTTTTTATTAGATTGCCTTATGGTAAACCGGTGGCGGTGTATTTAATTATGGCAAGGCACACTAGGGCTATCGGCCTAAGGGGGGCGATGCCTTCGTGGAGGACTTTCCAAGACATGGGGAAACCCACGAAAACGGCCATGCAGCGAGCCCGTTCGCGGGATTCGAACCTTAGACCGAACTACCAGCGTTCATTGACTTTACCGCTCGGCCGCTGGTCGGCCTATGGGAAACCGGAAAAAGTTTATTATAATTCGCGTGTACGTCTGATAATATTTCCATTTCGGATAGGTAGGCACATGCTAATTTCATTCATAAAGATCCACTAATTTTGGCGTAGTTCTAAATTCTACTGTAAACATTTAGCCTAGCAGACGAATTTTCATCCATATTTTTACCATTATTTGAACGATAAATTAATACACAAAAAATAAAATAAATAAAGCTTTTTTTTTATTTTTTTTTATTATTCTGACATCAGCCTAAAGTAAGTAAATAAATTAGCAGGCATTACTTGTCTTGGGAATAACAGGCAACATGAATTTAAATATGTATAATTTACAGTTTAAAGTTTTATCTTACTACCTAACTTATTAATTTTATAAACTACTACTCATTATTTAGAGGAAATTGAGAACTCAGATTGAGAACGGAGACAGATATAAAACTTTTTGAAGCTGGGCACAAATGGCTTCGTCCCTTTAAGATTGACCAGCGAAAGATCTTCTCAATTATATTAGAGTATAGCTCTTCTCAATAACGAGAACAATGAAATAACTTCTCTTCCAAAAATAGTAGAAACGAACACACAATTACATTTTATTTTTGGCAGTAATTGCTCTTAAGCAGACTATGAGTCAGTAACATGACAAGCCGAAGTATTTCTTGTCTCCAAAAGTATATGTCGAATTCTAGTAACCTTGGAGTTGCGCATCCTCACTCTCTTAAACATTGCTTTTTCTTCCTATTTAAGGCTGTTCTCATTTTCGTACAGCGGATGAAATAAGTTCAAATGTAGTCGGGAAGCATAAGCATTTTAATAAAAATAAATTATAATTTATTGGGAATGATGTCCAAAATTATTCAAAAATCGTGTTTAATCCGACACTAGTTGAAAAATAGAGGAAAAGGAATAATCCATTTTGTAATTATGAGGAATGTGCTGATGTATTTGTAAGCAAACTTTTGAGAATAATTTTATTTGGTTATGTAAATTAAATTAGTATTAAAAGCAAGTAGGGCACACTTCCAAAAGAAAGAAGCATTAAATTAGAAGTCAAACAACAAAAATCACCGTTATATTTCCAAATTTTCAGAGGAGTACAGGAAACTTGTACTGAGAAAGTTTGGAAATATAACGCTAATTGTTTTTTTTTTTTTTTTTGACTTCTAAATTAATACTTCTTCGGCGTGTTATTGTATCTTAATTAGAAAGAAGCGTGTGTTATTTACAATAATTTTGTATTTCGATAGAAGTCGATGGAAAAACACTTAACTTACGTTTTTCTATTTAGCATTTTAGTTTTAAGGAATGGTTTAGCAATATTCATAAATTCGAGACTTTGATCAAATGAATTACAGTTATGAATGAAAATAAAAAATTCCTAAATACTGTTTCTTCATTTGCTGTCACTGCTGTTATATCATGCATTTTTTTTTCTCTTTTTCTAAATTTCTCTTAGAAACTCTGCTTTATTCTGATGGTTTTTAAGAGTAATTTTTCTGTCGTTCCGAAATAAACAAACTAACGTTTGGTTTGACCCGTCCCAGTTAATCCACCTCTGATTAATGGGAAAATGATTACATATAGATTCATCTTCGAATAAAACCTCATGAGTGTAAATGCATGGAGAGAAAGAAACTAATATGCAGGTTTACCATTGGAGAATAATTCAGAACGATCACATGCTTATGAGTTGCAAGTAAGTGTGAATTATTGGAATTTCCTCGCTCGAAACTAGTGATCAGAAAATAAGTACTGCAGAACTTTACACGGGAAACTAAATAAATAACAATCAAGAAATTGCCTTCATTCTTGGACATTAGCTTTAAATCATTCCATTATGCTATTCACTACTAGCTGAAGGTCAGCTTGCAAGATAAACACAAGAACTCATCTTCCACGTGGTATTCTGAGTAAAAGAAAGATATGTCGATGCTTTTCTTCGATATGAGATCGATGATAAAGCAGTTCCGAAGCTTTTCGGCGATATAATTGAATACATTTCTCCGTAGGATGAAATTTTGGGATTCAGATGTCCTTCAGATACTGGTGTATAAGCGGCTATCCGAGAAACCTCACGTCCCGCAAAACCTGCGCGCTTTCGAATATCGATATTTTTCTGTACATACTTCACTTAATATATAAAAGTGGATATATAAGTGTAAAACTTATTTATTTTCCAGCCTTATAAGACATGAGTGGAAATCATTTCCTATTTTCATTGATTAAATTCAGAGATTCTTAAAATATATCTCAAACTTTTTACCACACAGTTTAAGAGGGCCTAGCATATTTTACCCAACACAATGTGCATCATCTGTCAGTTGAACTCCGGATTCTGTAACGTTTAGATAAATTGTCGAATCCCAACTTTTCTAGGATGTTCTTGATAAAGAAAAAGAACAATAACTTATCCAGAAAGCATTTGGGCGGATTTCTATTTGTTCATAGAATCGCATGTCAAGAGTAGAATTTATGATATAGAAGATATCAAAGTGCTCGAAAAAATGTTTTTCTTATGTCTTTAAAGGAGATGATAGGTTAAAAAATATAAGAAAATCCTTCCTGGCTTAAGAATGTGGGCTGTCAAAATTGTATAGATCCTAGCTGTGGTTTCTCTTACTGAGCTTTCAAATATCTTCTAAATAGAAATGGAATGAAAGTAAAATAAAGGCAAATGGATCGATAGAGGATCATTTTATTCTATATTAGAGATGTCTGAATATATTTTTTTCAGTTTGCATTATTTTTCTATGCATAAATGTACGCATATTAGCATATGTATGCCTGCAAATATGAAAAGAAAAGCATAAAATTTCAACTTAACATTCTATTA